TACCGCTGAGAATGTTTCTAACTACTGTCCAGATCTTCAAGCTACAGATCTAGATCTGCGGACAGACAGGTGGATTAATAGTCACGTAACGGTTGTAGAACAACATAAAGTATATCACCCTCAAAACACCCTCAAAATGTATCTGATATCTTTCAGAAAATATAATAAAACAGGACTCACTTTGTCCCCTTCCTTAATACGTATGGCCAGGACGTAGTTCACAACAGCAACAACCTGAAACGTATGAAGAAGTATAGATGGACACACAAGGATCCCCCTTGTTCACTGTGTGTACTGAGTGTATACTAGTACTTATGTACTGCTTAAGAAATCACTTATGTAAAAGGCAACCTCTCACAATATTTGTCACAGAAATATCATGATTGCATGCTGCTTCTGGTATAGGCCTGATACAATACCATTTTCCTTGACACAAGTAAGCTTTGGTTATGGGACATGTATACAGCCAAACGATCTTGTAGAATTATGAGTCATATCAACATGTGTCAAGTCAATACTGGCCTTACTTCAGTTTTGGCTGAGATAATTTGTTCCATGCTGTTCTGGGCACCTTGCGGTCCGTTGATCTCGCCCAAAGTTGGCCATGTTCAGTACTTCAAGTGGTGAGGTCACCAAGACCAATACGTACCTGTTTTCTTTTGGTATTCCGACTCTTCCACCTTCAATTCGAGCAGGATATTGTAGTATCAAGGTTGATATGTAAATACCAAATCCACTTAATGCTACAAGTGTCAACATTATGGCCATGGTTCCAGAGCTTGGGACAAACAGGCTGCGTGTCATCGCTGTGGTGGCAATTGTGCAGACAGTTATGAGTGTGATCAAGATCCCTCATGTGTGAATTGTGGCGGTAACCCTGTTTCCTCGTCAAAAGAATGTCCAGTATGGAAACGCGAGTCAAAGGTTGTCAAAGTCAAACATGAGCGGAACATCTCTTTTCAGGATGCTAAGAATATTGTTTTAGATGAAGAACAGTAGGTTCGAAATTCTTACTCTGCCGTTGTTTCACGACCAAATTGACGGCCTGTTCCCCAGCCTGTTTCACACACCACTGTCGGATGTCAGACAGATTACACATTGACCACAACGGAATCACCTGAAATTCTTTCACTTTCTTCTAATTCAGCAACTGTTTTAGAAACTGCCAGTTCTCATACACCTACCCCAAAACCAGCTAGGAAATCAAATCCAAATGTTGACTACTCATTAACAAAAGGCAAATAAGGGTCTCCCTAAGGGTCATAGAGATCCTGTTACTATGTTTAATAGGTTTGGTGTGTTCGAGGACATGGATGTGTCTTCACAAAACACACGATCCAGATGCCATTCCCCTAGGAAAAAAGGCTGTGAGCGGTCTCCTGTCATTGCACCATAATGCATAGTAACACAATTATACAATGGAACTGTCGATGGCTAAGGGCGAATTTTGATGAGGTTAAATTTCTATCTAAAGAACTTAATCCCGTGGCTTTTGTCTTCAAGAAACATATTTAAGAGAATGCGATAATCTTGACTACCGTCAATATCATATGTTTCATTCATATGCGAAGGTTACCAATGGTAAAAGAACGGGTGGTGCCAGTGTACTCGTTCGCGTGGAACATTACACAGTGCTGTACCACTAAATACCAACCTACTGGCGGTTGCAGTACGAATAACTCTGCATATTGCTATAGCTTTATGTTCTCTGTATTTACCACCATCCACTGCACTTCAGATAAAAGATTTAGATACTCTTATCCTAATCCATTTTTGCTTATGGGCGATCTTAATGGTCACAACCCATTGTGGGGTTCGGGTGATCAAAATTATAAAGGAAAAATACTTGAAAAGTTGCTCCAGAAGCAGGGTCTCTTTCTATCTAATGATGGTAGCAACACGTATTTACATCCAGCGACTGGTACTTACTCAGCTCTTGATTTAGCCTTTGCTGATCCGTCTCTTTTGGATGAGTTCTCATAGTCAGTACATGATGACCTGTGTGGGAGTGATCATTTCCCAACCATACTCAAAACCTTTGAACATTTTATTGATGATCCTGATCAGATCAGATCATTTTCGGATAAATTAATAAACATTGCCACAGAAACCATGCCCAAGACCTCGACAAAAATCCACATGTAAAAACACCATGGTGATGATTGTAGAAAAGCTAGGAAACATAGGAAAAAGTCTGAAAGAGTGTTTAATAAACAGCCCACGGCCAATAATTTAAACTGCTTACGAATGTCAAAAGCAAAGGTTCGTAGAACAATTAAACAAAATGAACGTACAAGCTGGAAATAGTTTGTTTCGAAAATACATTCTCGTACCCCCCTTAATAAAGTATGGAATATGATAAGAAAGATAAAAGGAAAGGGGTCTCAGCGCAATATTCAGCATCTACAATCATGATGTATTGACATCAAAACAGGATATTGCTAATAAGTTGGCAGAAACGTTCAGCCAAAATTCCTCATCTGCCAACTATGACCCAAAATTTCTAAAATTTCTAAATCAGCAGGAAAGGAAAATTCTGAATTTTCGGTCTGATGGTTCAGAGGATTACAACGAATCCTTTTCCTTGACTGAGTTACAAGAGGCTTTGAAGAAGGCTCATGATACAGCCTCTGGGCCAGATGACGTACATTATCAATTTTTGAAACATCTTCCTGACCCTTCTCTGTTAACCCTTTTATCCATATTTAATAGTATATGGGAAAATGGTAACTTCCCTCCTTCCTGGCATGAGGCTACTATAATACCTGTGCCTAAACCAGGTAAGGATCACACATTCTTCAAATTACAGACCTATTGCTCTGACAAGTTGTCTCTGTAAAACCATGGAACAGATGATCAACTGGCGTCTCGTTTGGTTTCTTGAATCAAATAATCTGATCACAGACATTCAGTGTGGTTTTAGACACCAGAGGAGCACCATCGATCATCTTGTCCGATTGGAATCATTTGTACGGAATGGCTTTGTAAACAAGCAGAATGTTGTGTCGATCTGTTTTTATCTTGAGAAGGCTTACGATACCACATGGAAGTATGGTATATTAAAAGATCTCCACGACATGGGTTTACATCACTCGCTTTTTAGAAGATAGAAAATTTAAAGTTAGAGTAGGCTCCACATTGTCCGAAATATATGATCAGGAAATGGGGGTCCCTCAGGGCAGTATTTTATCAGTGACACTTTTTAGCACACAAATCAACATTCTTGCTAAGGTTTTAAATGAAAATATTGATGGTTCGTTGTTTGTTGACGATTTTAATGTTTCATGCCGTGGTGCAAATATGAATACCATTGAGAGACAATTACAACTTTGTCTCTATAAAATACAAAAATGGGCCTTTAGAAAATGGTTTTAAATTTTCCAAAACTAAAACCTGCTGTGTTCATTTTTGCAACAAACGGAAACTGCATAAAGATCCAGAATTGACTTTAAATAATATTCCAATAAAAGTGGTCAAAGAAACCAAGTTTTTTTGGTATTACCTTTGATAAAAGTTATCATTTAAACCTCACATTAAAAATCTTAAAGCTAGATGTTTGAAAGCGCTTGACATTTTAAGGTAGTGTCAAATGATAGGTGGGTTGGTGATAGAGAAACACTATTACATCTCTATAGAACTTTGATAAGGTCTAAACTTGATTACGGCTGCTTCATTTATGGTTCAGCTCGTAAATCATACATTCGAGTACTATTCACCATCAGGGACTTCGGTTGTGTCTTGGAGCATTTAGGACATCGCCAATTGACAGTCTATATGTGGAAGCCATTGAACCCAGTCTTAGCCTAAGACGAATAAAACTGGCATTACAATATATCACTAAACTCCGCTCCAATCCTTCTAATCCAGCATTTAACAATATCTCCCGTGCTCCATATCAGCATTTATATATCAGAAATCCAAACACAATCCCACCACTTAGCATTCGCTTGCAATCCCATATCAAGGATGCCCATTTAAATCTCTCTGCCATTGCCGAATACAAAATGTCAGAAATGCCTCCTTGGCAATCGATACAACCTGATGTTAATTTAGAATTAGCGAACCTGAAGAAGTCTGACACTAATCAATTATTTTATCAACAAGAATTTCATGAACTGAAGAACCGATACTCCTCTAATACCAGTATTTACACTGATGGTTCAAAAGATGGCGAAAAGGTGTCTGCTGCAGCTGTTGCTAACAATCATACAGTGTCTATACGTATAACTGACGGAAGTTCGATATTTACGGCAGAAGCTCAGGCTATATTATTAGCTTTGCAATATATTGAACAGTCTTCTAAACGCAGTTTTCTCATATTATCTTATAGTTTGTCCTGTTTACAGGCAATCAAAAATCGAAAAGTGGATCATCCATTTTTAGCTGAAATTTTAAGGTGTCATCTCAATTAAGCCGTAGCTGGAAAAGATGTAATGTTTTGTTGGCTGCCAAGTCATGTTGGCATTAGGGCAACTGTAAAGCAGATTCTTCGGCAAAAGCCACTCTTAATAAACCAACTTCAAACACAAACTTCCCATATTCTGATCTAAATCCTTCCATCAGACAATATGTGAATGATCATTGGCAAACAAGCTGGAATACCAAGACTATGAACAAACTTCATGCTATCAAACCACTGATTGGAGGTAATGCACGTTCTGGTTTATATCGTCATGATGAAGTTGTTTTACAGCGGTGCCGCAATGGCCACAGTTATTATACACATTCATTTTTATTGAAGGGTGAAGATCCACCTTTTTGTATACCTTGCCATAGCCCTCTTACTATAAAGCACATTCTGCTGGAATGTGTTGATTTTGCACTTGTCAGACAACGTTTTTATGATAATGTTCATACCTTATCTGAACTTTTTACCACAGTTTCTAATCACTTGATATTAGCGTATTTAAAGGAAATCAAATTCTCATTGATAAAATATAGATTTATACCTGAACAGTCAGTCTTTCACCTATGAATGTAATACATGACTGAGATTTTAGTGATTTTCAACATCACTTTTATTATATTCGTTGATATATGTTTACACAAAGGGCATTTCTCGCCGCGAAAAGCTGCAAAAGTGCTGATTCGGCGTAAAGAAATATTCACTCACTCACTCACTCCCGTTCCGCTGGTGCAGCTATGGCGGGTCAACTCGGTCATCTGGGTCCAGAGCTGGTCCCAGATGGTCACGTCACAGATCTGGGTCTGAAACACAGTCATCGATTACATGACCGGGACGAGTGATTAGATGTATGGACTGGACACAGTGATCCATTACACGACCAGGGCGAGTGGTTAGATGTATTGACTGGACACAGTGATCCATTACACGACCAGGACGAGTGGTTAGATGTATTGACTGGACACAGTGATCCATTACACGACCAGGGCGAGTGGTTAGATGTATTGACTGGACACAGTGATCCATTACACGACCAGGGCGAGTGGTTAGATGTATTGACTGGACACAGTGATCCATTACACGACCAGGGCGAGTGGTTAGATGTATTGACTGGACACAGTGATCCATTACACGACCAGGACGAGTGGTTAGATGTATTGACTGGACACAGTGATCCATTACACGACCAGGACGAGTGGTTAGATGTATTGACTGGACACAGTGATCCATTACATGACCAAACACGATTGAGCTGGAGTAGTTTGACGGGTTTATTAAACCCTCTCCTTTATCTAATAAATACTCATAAGACTATTAGTCATAAGAAATCTCTGCTAAGAACACATTATTTTATACGAGACATACCTGGGTTCCATCAATCAGGCGGATCTTCAGAATGTAGTTGGTTCCAGCAACCACCTGAAATAAGATAAGATTGTTGTGTTGACGCCAGAGAAAACTCAGATCTTCTCTTAATAATGAAATATAAACAATATCTGAAACAGTGAAATCAATAAACGAAAACAAACATCAAATTTGAAAAGATGTTATGATCGATACTGCAGTCGGAAAACACATATTTATAAATTATGTTATACCACACTATTTACTTTATAAACGGTGACTTAGCCTAGACCTATACCAGGAGACACCAATATTAGTTATATATCGAAGAAGAATTTGTCACATGACAAATTATATCCGCCTTCTAAGATACCTGGGTCTTGGCAGAGATGACTTGATCAAGACTGTTTTGGGCCCCCTGTAGGCCGTTCAGTGCAGTCACAGCAAAGGTCGCCATCCTCTGGATATCTGTACGGTTGACATCGACGGAGGTTGGAGCACCAACAAGCACGGCCCGCTTGCTGCGTGTAGTACATGCATGATGGGTAACACGCTTGTCGTTCAGCCATGCACGTGACCAGATGGTAACAGTGCAGATCTGGGTCTAGAACACATCACCGCAATTGTGTCATAAGGATTTGAAAAAAGAAAATTAAATCAAACACAATCGTATTCTGGGTGCACGGCCATATGGATGGGATAGTGTTAAAAGCGGCGTCATCAACATTTGACCCTTCTCGTCTGCAACACTTCGCGGGACTCTAAAACACCCCTATCTGCGTCCCATGGAACCGTCTGGACCAACAAGGACAGAAGCAACAACAGTTGGGATGATGTCTCCAGATGTTGATGGGCAGCAGATGTAGTGAATGAGAATGAGAGAGCAATAATAACTATCAACTATATATGTACATTGACGAATGCTTGTTTTTTACCAGTGGGATGTCCACAGCGAGAGAGAGAGGGGGGGGGGGGGGGGGTGAGCGGGATGTGCACAATTCACAGGTCTTCAGATGCCGGAATCTTAAGAGCTGAGTCACCTAATAATGAGGACATGTAAGCTTAGTGAGTGCTGGCATATCAATGTGTAAAAATCTGAAGAGAACTCACCTGCTGTCCGTTCTGTATCTCGAGGGTCAGTAAGTAGTTGACGCCAGAGACAACCTGTGAAGAAGAAGAAGAAAAACCTCAGCATCTGAAACACAACTCCGGTGATCCGAACTCGGATATGGCGAAGTATAGGCCATCATAATATTGAGTTCAAATAATCAACATTGGAAAACATAGTACAGAACTATAAATCACACGCATTATAGTAAGCTGTGCAATACCCCCAGCCCCCTCTAACCACCCACCCCACCCCACCCCCAACCCCATCCCCCACCCCCCTGGTGTCGTTATAAACAGTTAATGTTGTATAACGTCGCAATTAGCAATTTCCCAGCAATGTTATGACGATTGTAAGTAATCGTGTTTGAACAAGGCAAACCAGTAAGCGATAGCATGAGCAACGATCCGCTATCGGGGCCTGATAGCACGCGGTCAGAGCTTGACCAAACCCTCCTGTTGGCTCTTAAGCCAAGCTTGAGATACTGGAGACCTAATCTCCCCCAGCGTCCTCACCAGGCTCCCAACTAATAAAAATAAGGCTGTAATAAGTATGACAATAATAAAAAGACCAACCCCTGGATTTACATGAAATGCGTTAAATCTCAGAATAGATTATGTTTAGATGAGTCAAATATACAATTTAATATATTTATATATGATGACACCCTAATGTATCTTTTTTATTCACGTTACCTAAATCCAATCCCAAAATAGTTTATTGACCATTTTGTATAAGCATAAAATCTTTTTTTTTTCGCAAAAACAAATGCTGAACTACCTCCTTGATAACATCAATGTACACTTTGGAAGTAGAATATTTGAGCACCATTTCTGCTCCCCTACTTGCTGATCTGGTTCTGTATGCTTATGAATCGGAGTTTCTTTTCGGATTGGTAAAGTAAAAAAAAAGGTAATTTATCCAAGAGGTTTAACTTTAGCTTCAGGTATATCGATGATCTGATGTTGTTCAATAACAATCAAATAGCAGACTCGGTGACCAGTAGGTCATCGTACCATACTTTCAACCACAGGACTGTCTGGCCAAGACTCGGTGACCTGTAGGTCATCGAACCATACTATCAACCACAGGACTGTCTGGCCTAGACTCAGTGACTTGTAGGTCATCGTACCATACTATCCACCAACAGGACTGTCTGGCCTAGACTCAGTGACTTGTAGGTCATCGTACCATACTATCAACCACAGGACTGTCTGGCCAAGACTCGGTGACCTGTAGGTCATCGTACCGTACTATCAACAACAGGACTGTCTGGCCAAGACTCGGTGACCTGTAGGTCATCGTACCATACTATCAACCACAGGATTGTCTGGCCAAGACTCAGTGACCTGTAGGTGATCGTACCATACTATCAACCACAGGACTGTCTGGCCAAGACTCGGTGACTTGTAGGTCATCGTACCATACTATCAACCACAGGACTGTCTGGCCAAGACTCGGTGACCTGTAGGTCATCGTACCGTACTATCAACCACAGGACTGTCTGGCCTAGACTCAGTGACTTGTAGGTCATCGTACCATACTATCAACCACAGGACTGTCTGGCCAAGACTCAGTGACCTGTAGGTCATCGTACCATGCTATCAACCACAGGACTGTCTGGCCAAGACTCGGTGACCTGTAGGTCAACGTACCGTACTATCAACCACAGGACTGTCTGGCCTAGACTCAGTGACTTGTAGGTCATCGTACCATACTGTCAACCACAGGACTGTCTGGCCAAGACTCAGTGACCTGTAGGTCATCGTACCGTACTATCACCCACAGGACTGTCTGGCCAAGACTCGGTGACCTGTAGGTCATCGTACCGTACTATCAACCACAGGACTGTCTGGCCAAGACTCGGTGACCTGTAGGTCATCGTACCGTACTATCAACCACAGGACTGTCTGGCCAAGACTCGGTGACCTGTAGGTCATCGTACCGTACTATCAACAACAGGACTGTCTGGCCAAGACTCGGTGACCTGTAGGTCATCGTACCGTACTATCAACCACAGGACTGTCTGGCCAAGACTCGGTGACCTGTAGGTCATCGTACCATACTATCAACCACAGGACTGTCGCACCATACTATAGAAGCTGTTTGATTCAGGTTGCAACATTCAGGGCCTCAGTAAAGCTTTAAAAATATTTTATAGTAGACATGTGGAGGACATTTCCAAATTTGACGCATCAGTGACAAGAATGATGTCTGACGCAATTCCCTATGTTGACTTGTCCCGTGTTTTTTTTAAGGTGAACAATTTACTTGCCTGTGCATGTGTTTGTGACGGGTGCCACCGGTGGGGCATGTCACGCTCCCCTTTTCGCGAACACCTGGTATCATCACTATTTGATAGTGATTCATAAATAGATACTTATGATACAGTCGGAATCACACAATCAACTCTGCTTTTTGGCAAGCATGTCTTATTAATATGGAAAATAGATTGTCGCTTATATCTACACAGCTCTTAGCAATATTCTAACAATATCACGGCGGAGGACACTAGAAATGAGTTTCCGACATTGTACCCATTTCAGGACTCGAACCCGAGCCTTCACTTTAACCACTAGGCTACCCCGCCGTCCCTTTTTACTGCAGAGGTTAAAAAAAAGGCAGTTTGACACCTACTTGAGTTTTAGCATCCACGACAGACACCAGAGTGTTCTGTGACCCGAGGAGCGTGTTCAGCTGGGTAAGGGCGAAGCTTGCCATCTGCTGAATGTCGTCCCTGTTCACGTCGACAGCCATGGGTCCCCCCATGAGTTGAGACGTGGCTAGTGGTAACACCACAAGGACCAGAGCTAGTATGTTCATTCTTTGTGTAAGTAAAGTGGAACTATAAGCCCTACGGATACGGCCTCCTATATATATGTGAAAAAACCGTCCCACGTTCAGCTATTGTGTCCCAAGGTTGGTTGTGTGTGCGTGCGTGGTGATTGTCGTCTACTGTGTCACGTGACTCACGGCCACCGAGGTCAGTGACTACGTTTCCTGTTGCTTAATATGTATATAATACTTTCTACATGCCTGATGAAATGTCAACACAGCACATATCTTAATAACACCACGTATAATTGATCATTGCGAGAATTTCATTACACCATTAAACATTTATATTTGGTGACAAAAACCAGTAAAACATTTGATAGCTTCATTGTTCATTTAAATGTCATTTTTATCTTATTATAATCAAGTCTTCTTTTCGAATGCCTTTGAATTAAATCAGGATAAAGGTGAGGTGAAATGGGGTTTAACGTCGCGTCCAAGATTATTGCACTTATATATCTGTGTGTGTGGCTGCTTGTACTAGTCCGGACTGATGTCGATTTACAGTGCTAGTTCACTGAGATACCATGCTGCAGTTTAACATGAATACCCCACTCAGACACAGTATACTGACTCCGAGCCGACCAGTCCTTGTTTTAGCCCCTTAATGCCGGGTAAGACAGGGTAACAACAAATACCATCTTTTGACGTATTTTGGTATGACGCGGCCGGGGATCGAACCCCGGATCTTCCGCTCTCCGGGCGGACGCTCTACCACTGGATCACGGAGGCGGCCTATAACAGGAGGAAACTGGCTCAGTGGTGACAGTTGTTATCTGTAGATATGTTTCTAGGGGAGAAGTTTGTTGTCGGTACTAGTCTTATCACTGACGTAGATCTAACCGTGTTGTTGTATGGGCTTGTGACGAAGAAAACATGGTCGACATTTCACAGTACATAGATAAAACATATTCCAAATCTTGTTTTAAATATATAGGTCAATTAGTGCTGATAAATGGGGAACTTAACTCGGAGGTCGGATCATTTCCACTTGTTCTATGGATTATTATTATTATTACGCAATGTAGACTAACATCTAGAATCTGAAATGAAAATATTTTACAGAAAGAAACAGTTGCTAAATTATCTTAATGAAATACAATAAAAAGGAGCCCAGGGACTCTCTTCATTTTCAGAATCTGGACTTGCATGGGCTGTATAGGATATACAGTAAACTACGGTTATAACGAACACGCTTGTAACGAACTAACGGATATAACGAAATAACTTTTTAGTCCAGACTATATGCTGTAGTTATGCTGTATATATGCTCATAACGAATTACGGTTATAACGAACTAAAATTACTAGTCCCTTTGAGTTCGTTATAACCGTAGTTTACTGTATTTGTTTCAGGGTCTGTATGGCAGACTATAAACAATGGTGCAGAGTTGAATAGAGGTTAGCTGCCTCTTAAAGGGCAAGTTCACACGGAAATGAACCAATTTTTCTTGTACTTTTTCCACATTAAAAGTGTTAACATAGAAGTGTCATAGACAAAAATATAAAAACATCATATTTAATTAACATATTTTTTGCATTAAAACGATTTATATTTTTCACATTTACCAAGTGTTCTATTTCCATAACAAAAACACCATGGCTTATGCCCCTTGCAATATGACGTCATTGGTGCCAATTGATAAACATTATGACGTCATCATGCTTTGTTAGAGCCGCTTCACGTGGTGTAGGTACAGTTTTGTGATTCTAGCGTCTCAGATGCCAGCCAGAATTGTGTTATGCTGAGTCACTACTGCGCCAGAGTGTGTCGTAGACCATGTTGTTTGACCGCAAACTGGTCCTTGATATCTTTTGCTTTGAGAATAGACAGGGACCCAGTTGAATTGGCACCAATTACGTCATAATCTAAGGGGGATAACTCAGGCCTATTTCGCTCGTCAAACGAAGGCCTCATAACGGCATATCATTTTAACACTATTGTGAGCTTCCTACTTTCACTGTGAAAAAAAATTAGTGTATATTTTCAAACACAGATACTAATTAATTCTAAAATTGCGTTTTGTTTAGAAAGAGAAAGAAAGTGATTTTTGCGTGTACACTTCCCCTTTAAAAGCTTTTGACACGAACTTTAAAATACAAAAATGATGTTAAAAAACCATGCATGTTTGGTTTAACCATATTTTATTCAACTCTACTTGAAAGGGATAGGTAAACAGGTCCGACTGGCTTACTGGCTATACTGCTCCCTGTTACATGAATACATTTGGATAGACATCAAAACTTTAAGGTCAAGAAACAATACAGAGTGTAACGGTTCAGGGGGTGGATATTGGGGTACAGCTCTGGTAGCGAATTGTGGATCACTCCCAATACCACCAACCACACAGTTTTAATTATTTAATTTTTCAAGAATAATTTCACAATTAAGAATTGCACAATGAGATTTATTAATTTACAAGAATATAATTATTCTTTTGACATTTCAGTTAGGAAGATGTACAATAAATATAAAATACTTGAATGTCAACTCACATATCTCGGCTCGAACCGGCTTTCACTCACGTATCATAAAATCTACAACCGATCAAACTGTCAACAAAGTGACGTCATACCGGAAGTAGTCTCTCGCACGAGGATACGGTCGGTGGAACGTGGGGAAATTGCACTCCACCAGTGACAGAAGTTATTTTACTTCGAGTCACGGCTGTGTAGTAATATACAATGCATTAAGATGGACTAGATGCACTTTTGTAGCCATACAAGGCTGATTTAAGCCATTATGCTACAAGAAGTAGTTTCGTGGAACAGACTCACGAATATAGGTGACGTCACACGAACTATCACGTTGCCAAATCGAAACAGGTGATTTAGAACGTGTTCACATTTTGTTTTTGCACATTAAACAAACAGTCAGTAAGATCAGTGGTGATATACGTTAATTCATGTAGCAATAACGTATATATTTACGGTAGTATGCTGTATCACATACAACATATACAATATGATTCATCTCACTGTCTACTGACCGAAATGTACAAAAGGCTTGTACATTACACAGAGTAAGAAGACCATTCGTGTTACCAAGACTACAGTCATTAGATATAACCTTAATATATAGTCATAGGTCTACCACTATTTTCTATGAAATCATGGACAGACATAAGCACGTTGTGGTTGACATCTCTTGTTAAATTCATGTTACTCTACAATGCTGTTTTCAGATCAAACCCTTTGTGTAGCAGTACATAGTGCTTCTTCTCTTACGATACGTAGGACAAGTAAAGAGTGAGTGAGCGAACACTTTAACCACTGGGCTACCCGACCGCCCCAGGACAAGTAAAGAAGTGCAGTGGAGACTCCAAATATAAATCGCACTGACAGTCTGTCTTGCTGAAATATTTTAAATGTGTTTCAACTTTATAGTTTGTTTGTTTGTATGTTGTTTTACGCCGCACTCAGCAATATTCCAGCTATATGACGGCGGTCTGTAAATAATCAAGTCTGGAGCAGACAATCCAGTAATTGACATTATGAGCATCGATCCACGCAATTGAGATCGATGACATGCATTAACCAAGTCAGCGCGCCTGACCACCCGATCCCGCTAGACGCCTCTTACGACAAGCATAGTCGCCTTTCACGGCAAGCATGGGTTGCTGAAGACCTATTCTACCCGGGTCTTCAACTGTATAGACGAGCATGGACAATTTGACATTATCGAGTACCGTCAAAGTATATACAAGTTTCAGAAGTATTCAATGCCATTTTAAAACCTTCTGTACCTGCTATATACTTAACATCATCTGCTAACAGATTACAAGCATGTCAATCCTACAGAGAAACGTCACTGAAGTTTTCTGTAATGATAGAATATCAAGTAAAAGCTGCATTAGAACTTCATCTTCGTATCGGTGAATCGCGGTACTGATACACACGATATGGGATATCATTGTTAGGTTTTGGTGACATATGTCTGTCTGAAACTACACGTTTAATCGCAAGTGTTAATTAGGCGTTGGCAAACCCACCAATGTATCCATTACGCCTCTAATATAGCATGCTCTTCTTACATGATTTCACATTTTCGCGAACACCTGGTGTCATCACTCTTTGATAGTGATTCATAAACACATGTTCATGATCAGTCGAAATCGTTCAATGAACTCTGCTTTTAGTTAAAATGTCTTACTTTATGGTATTTCTTATGGTTTGGTCACTTTAATTTAGGTGCAATCTTCAAATGTCATCTAGGAAAGATCGCGTTCCTGGCATGCACCATGTTATGTCAGCATAGTTTATCAGCGTGTTTGTGCCTACATGTTATATGAGAATGTTATTCCAGCCTGTGATGACAGAATGTTATACAACATTGCAATACCATAATGCTGACTAAGCAGAATTACAGTTGTTTCCATTGACTTATTGCTTTTTCGTCACTTCTTCCAAAGACATATAGCGACAGTTGACATGTTATCTATTATTATCAACTAAAATCACTTACTTGACTTTAGCCTGAAATATTATTACTTTTGGACCTGTAAATAAACAGTTTCTTCCTTGTTTGTGAGAGTCAAGAAGGCCAGATCTGTACATAGAATAACGTTATTTCCTGGTCGGAGTCTTTAGTGGGCTGGGTCGTATGACTCGCGAATAAAGGATGGTTATTACTGAATGCATTTAAACAAAGGGATTAGTCCGGTTTATGGAAAGAAGTTTATGTCTGATAGCCCTATATTTGTCAACCGGGGAAATATCTACGACTGACGTTACTTTGTATTTCAACCCACTTTAAGCTGGCAAGTCGTGATATAACAGATTTTAAACTCACTTTTCCGGTATATCGCCCACGAGTGTACACGCTGAAACTAAGTACATTTCCGTAAACAGGTATTTCGTGACAAAATCTCATGAAGGACAGAGTTAAGTTACACTAGTAAACAAACCTTCATCATTTTCATGGTTTGAAATATCCTTTTTCCTGCATGGACGAGAAAGCATCCGAGGAACCTGGACACACATTTAGGGGTGGGAGTGTTAGGATGTGAGGATGAGTTGGGGAGGATGGGGGTTGGGATGTGAGGTTAGGTTGGGTTCAGTGTTTAGAATAATGCATGGTGAAGAAAATTTCCTCCTATTGATTATTAATTACCAATGCCTGGAACACTGCACACCTCTGTGTGTATAATAATAAAATGGTGTATAAAATAAAATATATCTTTGCGCATTTAAAAGCTGTGGGCGATGCAGATTTATGACAAAGCTATCTGTGTTTGTAAGACTTGATCTGCATGGTGGTCAGACTCGCTGACTTGTAGGTCATCGTACCATACTATCAACCACGGGACTGCCTGGCCCAGACTGTCATTAGATGAAATATTGCTAACGGTGTTGCAACTTATAAGGAATTTATTCTTTCTCAAATTCTAGACGGACAGAGCAATATATACACTCACTGATATTGTCAGCCAGTC